AGATAGATAGATAGATAGAAAAGAGGAATGGAGGAATAGAGTGAGGGAGAAACAGAAAGAGAGAGACATCTAGTGGTCAGGGTAAAGGTTGCATTACCTTTTACTGGTTAGTCCATATTATATAAATGTGTAACGTTATGTCATTTTAAGTGCTATTTAAAAGCCCGATTTTATTTCAGAGATAAAAACATGTTAAGCTATAGTAATCTTTTACTATAACATTAAAGTCATACATATTGTAGATTCACAGGCAGACACATCTGCAGATAAAAATAGCCTGAAGCCCCCACCAAAAAGGTAATTTCTTTCTTTTTTCCTTTTCCTTTTTATTGTTTGTTTGTTTGTTTGTTTAGCTCCATGCACTGGGCCGTCTCTGTTTATGATGTACTCTGCAGTAACTAATGTCTGTTAGTAAATGTGTCTCTTACCCTTGGTTGTCAGGTTGCCCAAAGGCAAAGCTGCTGAATCGAGGGATCTCTCCTGTGTCCCAGCGAAATGAGTCTTTCAGAGGCTTATATGTCAAACCTGTGGAGCAAAAACATTGCTGTTTTATCCGTGCAGCACCTCAACAACCTCCACCTGGCAGTACATCTGGTCGAAACGACAGCAGAGTCTGGCACCTAATCTGGTGCTGCTGCCCGATGTTAGAAAACATTATGATATTTTAACATTTATTTGGATAGAAAACTACCAATCCAGAAGTTTCGTGTCTCAAAGTCAGTGTTGGTGACCTCGTTGCTCGTCTCCAGCTGACTGAGATAAAAGGCCAGGATGTCCTGAACCTTTTGATTGTGGATGTAAGCTAGAATACCCCCTCGTTCCTGGTGGTTTAAACAAAAGAAAAAGGCCACACTGAAAGCAGAATGAAAGTCCTTATATGGAGATATATATGATGTAATGTGGCTGTAAAGCTTGTCTTACTGTCTCAGTGCAGGGCAACACACACCTGCCTCTCACCTGACAGTGACTCTTGGCTCCATAGTAAGTGTCAGCTTGTGAAGACACCATGAAGCAATCGCCATCTATCATCACATCACAGCTGCGGAAGGGAAACTGCACTTTCTCTGTTGGGGCAAAAATATGCAGACAATGAACAATATTGACTTTGACCATCCATCATGGCTCAGAACAGACTTAAATATATTGTAATCTGTTAAGCTTTTACATCTGGAAATGTGGAATTATTAGAATTATGTTCAAGGAAATGAATAAAAGAAACCCAAATCAACTTACAGGAAATTATTTTGTTACTTATTAAGCCAGAAAATATGAAATACATTGTCGTGATTCACACTGGTTAATTAAAGGTGCATAACTTTGGCACTTTACTTGATATACACTGTAAATCTCATACCGGCTAATGGCAAAATGCTGGTGCTTTTACCATGTTTTCACCACATTTTCATCAGAGCCAGACTCAGCATCTCTTATCATAAATGCAGAATGGAGCAACAACCAGAAAAATGTCCTCAGTATGTGTATGAGCCCGTGTGTGCTTTTACATTTTAAGCCAATCTGTGTCTCAGAGTACAAATTGCTGAGGTGTATGAAAACATAAAGAAGCATATACTAAAGCACAGTGCACTTACCTGCACACTCAGCACCACCGTAGCCAACATCACACAAGCAAGAGCATTCTTCTTCTTTGAAACGACCATGAACACACTGCACACTGCATCGTACTGAAACACAGACACTTAGAACAGTGAAATGTGCCTCTCTACTTTGAATATCAAGGTGCTAAGATACAATGAGGCGTGATACCAATATCTATGTGTATGTGTTAATGACTCTGCTGTACCCTGGCAGAGGCGTCCTGTGAAGCCGGGGTCACACATGCACTTGCAAGATGAGCTGTTAAGATGACCGTGATGACCACAGCTCATACGGCATGGATTCCTTGGAATCTCTAATAACAGAAACACACACACAAATATGCATGTTGCAAAATTAACATCTGGAAATTGCACGTTTGATCATTTTTACACAAATCAGCTGTCAACATCACCACAGCAGAACTGTGAACCTCATCGAATTATATAAGCAGGATAATGTGGGACTCTCAAAATAATAATAATACTACAAAGTACAAGTATTAGGGAATTTAAAATTTAATTTTTATCCTTTTAAAATACTATAAGTAGGACATGCATGTCTGTTTCGAGGTTTTATGTTTTATCCTTGTGAAACCCATTTATTTTTAATAGTGCATTAGTATTAACTAAGTGCTCCTTCAGAAAGATGTTGTGAATGTCCGATCACAGCAAAATCTGCTTTCACACTGTAGCTATAAACAGCATATATATTGTCTTACCACATAATCCACTGACATGGTCCCACAGTCTAAAGCAGCCAGACATGGAAGAGGTGCAGAGAGAGCAGTACAGCCCTGTCTTATAGGGCATCACCAGCTGACCCTTCACCTCCCAGTTACCCCTGCAGCCACACAAATATACACTGTAGAACATATACTAAGAGACACACAATCAGACAGGACGTACAGTAGTGGCAGGGAGGCTAAAACCCTATTAATGTTTGTAGTGTTGCTGATATATGTACAGAGGACTCCCTGGAAAGCACTATTGATACTGAGAGTGGTGAAATAAAGTAAACATGGTTCATAATACAGTCGATAAAGTCTTACCTCTAATAATGAACTCTTTTTCTTTACATGCAGGGATGTGAAAACCTTTCATATAAGTATAACTGTTAATGATTTGTGAGCTGGATTGTAGATATAACTGTTTGCATTTTGTTTAAAGGACCAGTGTGTAGCATTTACTGGCATCTAGCAGTTAGGTTGCAGATTGCAACTACTAAACATCGCTCTGTCTGTATCATTGATGTGTATGGTCTGTATTTGGGAATGAGAAGAGGCTGTGAAGTGTGAACTATGATGGCTGCAAAACCCTGAAAAAGGCTCAGTTTAAGGTGACAAAAACACAACAATTCCTACATTCAGATGATTATACACTAATGAAAACATAACCTATGAATATTATATTTCCATTTCTGCCAATAGATCCTCCTAAAATGTTACACACTTGACCTTTAAGACTGAGTATTAATTTTAAAAGTGTGAATTAATTTTCAGTTTCTATGCTGTTCTCAGATGATTTTAACATTTTCCCTTTCTTCTGGTGACAAAGTGTGTATTTATTACCCAGGGAAATATGCACAAACAAATAACTCCCAGTGGTCTCCGTCCATCAGACACAGCCGGCTGGCACAGCCCACGTGACTTGAAGTGGCCCACACCAACTACATAACAGGAGACGGTTTAGACAAACAGCAGCACATTTAAAGGAAAAACATGAATATGAATAGTGTCTGCAAGTACGACTCAACATACACATAAGAACAGTTTGTATCTGCTTCTTAATACCTGTGTATAGTGTTGACAGGTGGCGTTCTCTCTACATTCGCCACTCAAGTAGAGAAAATCTTTTCCTTCCTCAAACCAAGAGTCAATGACGTCAGAAAATGAGGTGATACCATCAGCAGAAAGATGCGTGTTCCAGCCGATGTGACTGAAAGACGAGGAGTGTTGAGGGGGGACGTCTGTGTGACACGATGTTGCCCTCTCATTTGCCAGTAAGGCCAACTTCTCATTCCACTCCTATGAAGACAACAATGTCAGTTAAGTCATTACATATCTAAAACTAAAATTTTACTTTGTTACGCATATTTTATCCTTTTCTGACAGTATCTTACACACAGGCTAATCTGGGGAGATCTACTGTTTACCAGCACACTGACTGAAGTTAAAATTATTGTATCTGTGTTTCAGTCTTTGGATGAAACTGTTTAAAAGCACATCTGTTTGATTAAGGTTTTCAACTATTACCCTATAGTGTTCAGTATTGGGGTAAAAAAAAAAACAACAGGAAACAGGAAAACAGTAAATTGTCAGCACCAACTAATTTAATTATCAAAATATGTTACTGTGGTCGGACTTGGGGCTGCACCTTAAACATGAAATAAAGGTCATATTGTACTTTGCAGATACTGATTAAAACTGGATGAAAGAAAAACTCTTTGGCATGAAGGTCATTCCTAATAGTGCATAAGTGATTTTCTTTACCCGCTTAATCCTTTACAGGGATCAGAACCAGTCGCACAGCGGGCAACAGGCAGGGAGAAACCTTAGGCAAGCTGCCAGCCCATGGCAGGGCCAACGAATGCAGACTGACACCCATTGTGTGCTTCACTGGAATAAACACTTCACTTAGTGGTGCATTTTGCAAGATTTGCAGTAGCTGGTTAGAATAAACAATCGGTTTCCACACAAACTTTCCACAATTACTCTCCACAATCACTTAGCTGGATGTTGACGGTCAGTTAATACCATGGCTGCATCATAAAACTTCAGTTACTTATAAACATTTTAAAAACGATGCCTTATTAGAAAGTTGTACCCTCTCTAGATAAATTAAGACTCTCCTTTAGGTCTCGACAACTCTTCATGTTTTCTGTCATATTCCATAGTCTGTACAGTGTAATAAAGATAGAGATTCAATCTAATCAAATGTCTGCACAAACTTTTTCTGTATGGTTAGACAGAGTCTGGAAGGTAGACAGAGGTGTGGCACTGTTGTGTGGTGTAGAAAGGCTGAGTTCACTGTTCACTCTGCTCTCTGATGTCAGCCAGCCAAAATCATCTGCTCACACTTCGATGCCACCAGAGGGGAAAAAGGTCACCGGGCAATATTTCATCCAAGACATTTCATTTTTAAAGCATGTCATGTTGTATCCGCTGTGTGATTTGAATGTGTCTCTAGGAAAGATATGTGTTTATATTCCTTTTGCTTTCTTTGTGGTACCATCAGCAATATTGTTGAGTACTATATTAGCTAAATTAATAGAGCTATGTATTTGTCTGTGTGCTTTTTTTTACTCTAACTGTGTTAAACTCAAGTGCTGGAGATCAGGAAGTTCTGAGAGAGATTCATAAAATGCAAACTCACAAACAGAGGTCATAATTTACATATCAAAAGTAAATACTTGAACTTCAGTCTCTGAGAGACGCTATGACCTCATAATACTTCTTAGTCTCTTTGAGCTCAAAGAAAACCCACAGGCAGGGCATTGGGTAAGAAAGGGAGGAGCTTCATTCATTCCTAAAATATTGGTATTTTATCTCACCCTGAAAGGAAAGCTTAAAGGACTATATTATAATCACTTCAACACAATCTCACCACAATGCTTACTGGTTCGTTCCTGTGTGAAAAAAAAAAAAACCTTATTCAGATATTCACAAACACAGTCGAAGCCTGGAGCCTTTTAACGTTTATCAGTAAAGCTCTTTAATATGCCTCTTCAGCTCTGCAAAGCTTCCTCTGAGGGTTTTCACTGGGAAATTACCTGTAATACCAGAGTTGTGAATGCAGAATGATTATCCACATCCTCTTTTTCTCATTACCGCCTTATCAGTTGAGAACAGTTCTCAGAGGCTGAAGAGCAGTCGAAGAAAAAGGCTCAGTCTGTACGGGTGGCTTTGAGGATGTAATCTATGACAAAGTGACAGTTTGCCCTGGCACAAATCTCACATTAGGCCCAGAGGATATCTAGTGTATTGCGACTTTTATAATCCATCGTTACCTCTTGGCCATAATCACATGCGGGTAAGACAGTTGTGCAGATAAGCACTGTACAGTAAAGCAATAGATGGAATGAGATAGGGAGAGGATTTAGCTGGAGTATTTTGCAGAGAGTGGGATTTAAAAAATTCAGAGTCCAAAATTAATATTAAGCATAGCTGCACATTCAGCAACACCTCACCACGACCCTCAAACTGTTCACTCTGTCAAATTCATGATGCATTTTGTGTGCAGTATTTTAACTGTATGTGTTAAACATTAGTATTAAGAGATAAACAAATTAAAAATTGTTGCTTAGTTTTTTATAATTCTGATAAAAAATCAAAAATCATTGGTGTCATTTCATTGTGTTAATCCCACAAGTCTATGCACAGCTAATTGATTTTGGCTTACTTCTAACTGTCCACACTATCACTCAGCCTGCAGCAGAGCAGAACAAATGGTGCACTAACACTACTATTTCACACTGTTGAGAGTGTCAGCACTAGAGACGAAGACAGCTCAGCTAAAAACAGTGATTTTGTTTAGTGATTTCACTTTTTAAAAGGAATATTTTAACTGTAAATGTGTGAGGATCAAAGGTCCTTACTTGTCACAGATGTTGTTGAGGGAGAACTGTAGACATTTAGTTGATTATGCGTTATGTTTGATACTGTGCTTTGCATGTGATTATGCTGCTACTGTACCTGAAGTAGTTAGATTGAAAAAACAAACAAAAACCCTCTAAAACAAGTTTATGGACTGTCATTCTCATTGTGGGCACTGCAAGCCTCTCCGAACTGTTGGCTCACATCCAGATCAACACGTCTGATCATTACTGACACCATCGTCATCATCATCATCATCATCATCATCATCATCATTACCGTTTTTCTTTGGGTTTTTTGCACTGGCAGCTGCAAGCTGCAAGCATATTGGTTAAGTTTGCAACATATGGCCAAAAATCTTCCACTAGTGGAGGGATAGAGAGTCTGCAGTACAGCACAGATACTCTTTACAAGACGTGCAGCACAGAGAGAGACTAAAGGTTGGTGTGAAAAATCAGCAGTGTGGACAGCATCCATTTTTTAAAACAGGAGCGCAAACTGTCAATAAACTGCCGTAAACTCACATTTAGGCGACAGCATTCATACCATTGAAACACACACAGAAGAAACAAACAATAGATGCCACAAACCATTTTTTGCATGTTAGCTGCCATGGGTTGGACCCGGCTGCGCAGCCTATTGTGCTGGGCAACAATCTGTGAGTGCTCCCTCACCCCGAGCCCTGGAAGAAAACAGAAACACTAATTTAGTATAACACATACTGTTGTAGCTATGGCAACCGAATGCAAATGTGTTGGCGGGTAGTTTGAGTTTGAGTGGGTGAGTGTGTGTGTAAGGTTGGAGTATGAGATGATAAAGTCTGTAACATTTTCACTCACATTTCAACTCAAGGGTCAGTTAGGTTAAATATTTTTACAGTTTTATCACATACAGAGTGAACAAGCATCCCCTAAACACGGATTTAAAAGGCCCTCATCCTCTGCACACATGTCACTATACACATTCAGAATGCTTTAGGAAATAAATGAACTAATAAAAAATGTATTATCAACCATATAACCCCCCCACACACACACTTCATAAACATGCTGGTATAAATAGATAATAAATGACAATATAACACAGTTGTAATCATAAAACATGCCATACTAGGAAAGGTTATAAATGTTTAAGATACTGAAAATTAATAAACATTTCAAATGCCCTTATATCTGCCTATAACTACATTATAATGTGTTAGGTTTATATACTGTTATAGAAAATAATGGGATTAAAGTTAAGTCGCCTTACTTTGCAGTCTTGAAGCCGAATAAATTGGGCCTGAAAATCCTTAAAACATTCACATGAGGGCAGATTGTGGAATAATAACAGTTTAGACTAGACTTTGATCTGTTGGCATCAAATTCACATACTTTACTCCTTAAAGTTACTTTTTTTTCAGCTCCCTGGTGATGGGTTAATAATTTTGTGTTTGGCAAATTATCATCAAAATGGTAATTTGTTAAACTGCTGCCAAACTTGTGCAACACAGCAGGCAGTAATAGAAAAGTAGTGCAGTTGGTGCTTTGCCAGATGGATTTGGAAAGCTAAGAAAGCCCACTTGAGTCTGCAGTCTGAATGATTGCCACCTGACTGCACACACAGTAGTTTAAAAACTTCCACTTATAAAACTGTATTCTCTTAGACTTAGGCCTACTTGCTTTAACTCTAACATACACCAGGAAAAGGTGTCTAGATTCTATTCAGCAGTGTGCATGTTGATGAAGTTCATCCTGCACTGCGATGCCTCGTCTAGACTGCTGTCCCTCGTGGACACCTGACTCGTGCGTAACTTGTTTACCGGTGGAGGTGGACTTGTGCCGGTCCGGTGTGTCTGTGATAATCCGGTTCGCGTAGATCAACAGAGGCAGCAGAGACAAAACGGCAAACAGATCCAAAACCCGTGACGCTGTGACAGAGCCCATTGTGAACTCCTGAATTGTCTCCAACAACAGCGGCCACTTGCTCACAGTTATCCTGCCTCCCTGCTCTTCTCCTCCCTCTTTCCACTTCAACAGCTTTCACCCCCGGGTTGCAACTTGCAGCGCGGACCACATGTCTTTATTCAAAGAGAGCTCACTATACATACAAGGACTGTAGACTTACTGTAGAGTGTCTTTAACCTTTTATTATTTAATCAAATCATTAGGCCATTCCTCGACCCCCCCCCCATTTTTTAAAATTGCCGATGGGTGAAAACATGCAAACAACAATAGGTGCTCATCATCCACATGGAGCCACTAGGGGAAGAAATACTCAGATCCTTTATTCAATTCTCCACTATCAGTAAAATTCCTGCTTTCAAAATAATGTTTTTGTAAAAGTAGGTATTATCAGCAAATTTTCTTGATTTTAAAGTAGCCTAAAGTTTTCCTGAGCTCAGAAAAGCAGTTCTTTGCAGCTTTGTGACCATGTATTTTCTTTCTAATCCAAGAGGGTGTTTAAGAAGTAGTGGGATTTTAATAAAGCTGTCAGACAAATGTAGTGGAGTAAAAAGTACAATACTTGCCTCTGAGATGTAGTAGAAGTATAAGGTTACATAAAATGGAAATACTCGAGTAATGTACAAGAACCTTTAATGTGTATTAAGCACAGTACTTGAGTAAATGTAGTTACTGTCCACCACTGCATGGAGAATAACAAAGATTTACCTCTAAAAAAGGGAAAATCCAGGTTAAAATCTTTCTGGGCAAAAAGGTAAAATATTTGAAATACTGTACAATTGCTGTTTTGTTCAACTACAGAACTAAAACAACTTTAAACAACTTGTTTGCATTATTTACCTTTGAAATAGATTTTAATGTTTTTTTAAACAGCAGATGGTGATGGAAGTATTGAATCCCTCACTAATGTAAAAGTACCTATACTACAGTGCTGCTACATCATAAATTAAAATCTTGCATTAAAAAAATTGCAGTAGTAAAAGTACGTACCATTTAGAGAGTTAATTATGTCGTTGGATTATTATCACTCATTCATTAACTTAACTTTTCAATGTTGCAATTGGTTGTGTTTTGACTGTTGAGTACTTTATAAAAACCACATCCACCTCTGACAGCAGGTGTGCTACTAGTGCCAGTCAGCCACTGTGGACAAAACAAAAACATATTGCTTAATCATCTCTATCATCATTCCCTTATGACAAACTGAGAGCTTAACTCTCGGTAGAGGATGAGCGTTCATCATTGTTAAACGAGGGGAAGTTCGTTTTGAGAGACTGATCTGTCATTCAGATGAATCACTATAGATGGAGTTTTAAGTGCAGGCTGAGGTGCAGGATGTTATTTTTGTATTTTGAGACAAAATTTGTTTGTGATATTTTTCTGATATCAGAGTATAGCAGAACATAAGGTGGCAGAACTATAAGTGGTACAGAATGAGCAGAGAGGTCTGAGTGTGGAAAGGTACAGGATGGAGCTGTCTGGGTGTCTGTTTAGACATGGTGACAATGTTTTTTTTATGGACCCAGTGTGGGAAGCATGAATCATGAGTTGCACATTGTGGGGGTGATTCAGAGTCTGGAGATGACTACAGTGCAACACAATAGACTCCCACTCATTTCTCTCTCCTGTGGGCTGAATGTGTTTTGCACTGAAGATTCAGTCCCCAGGCTGCCCAGTTATTTCTTATCTCTTTGATTTTGCTGCATCAGTAAGGGACTGTCTGACCCTGCTGAGATAAACGACAGCTGCAAACACAGTCTGTTCTGGGCTCAGTCAGACAAAGCCACCCACTAAGATGATTTTCTCAGGTGAATCCAACAACCAAAAGAACCACTGTAATCTCCATCCTTGAGCTCAAAGCAGTACTCAAGAGCCTGAACCTCCTCATTACTCTTTGAACTGCAGCGGTGTCAGCAGCACACAGTGAGTACCAAAGTCCATCTACACAGTAAATGTTGTCTTTACAGTTGGTAGTTCAGTAGCAAACTCACATCTTTACCATTTTTGTTTTCCACCACAGTTTTGTCTCTAGAATGAAAGCAATTTTACTTCCTTAACCAACAGTAGAAATGAAGATGCTGATGATACAGACATCTAGAAGAGTGAAACTTGAATTGTAATTTGGAAGACATGTAATATTTACTTCGCTGGGATTGTCAGCCAGGACAGATGCAACCTGGCATAAGAATGACATTAATGTTTATATGTACTGACTGTTGCTTTCCTACTTTGTACTGCAACTGCTGCACAACAAATAAAGTTATATCTAGCCATGAAGAGCTAGAAAGGGAACTTGGGGCTGGGTGGATGTTTTGATTTAGTGGTGTGATATGTTTAGAAAAGAGAATAAGAATAAGTATAGCACTTATCTAAACAAGGTTACAATGTGCTTAAAATCAGAGAATGAGCAGCTGTAAATCACTATCATTACCAGCCTGCACTAATAATATATATAAAGGGAATATAAATGTTCTATATCGTCACACTGTTAAAATAATCGCCTAAGTCATTTTTTGTCAAAATAGTTTTTTTTTGCCTAAATATTCTCCTCATTGACGGCCGGCCTACCTTAGGTAAAAATCGCTACATCCTCAGTTGATCAGATCAATCATCAGATTACCTTCTTTAGGATAATGGCCTATGTCAAGTGTGTGGGACTTAAGGCGGATACGTTTTTGTGAAAAACTTGAAAAAATGACTTAGGCGATTATTTTAACAGGGTGACGATATGTCATCTTCATCCATCTTGTTGCATTCCCTGAACCCCCTGTCATCGCTGTCTTGCTGCCCCTAGCCCATGGTCATATAGTCAGGTTTGTAACCTGAGAAAAATCTGTGTTGTTTGTTTCAGTCCAACTAATATACAGTAATGCAAATGCGAATATATTCCTGTGGAGGGCACAGCTATGGCACAGCTTCTCTGTAGCTTCTCTCTATCATTGGCAATGAACATTATCCGTCTCTGGTTGCAAATGCAGCATTGTGATTTCAAGTTGAGCTGACAGATCCTAGTGAGTTCTACTAGCCCATGTTGTCTGTTATATTTAGAGGAAATAATGAATGAAATGCATATACATATATGTCCTTCGGAATGATTATCATCACATATTTTTCACATCTGCATAAACAAGATATAGAGAGGAAGTGCACACTAAGTTAAGTAAAGGGATAATAATGTGGTCACATTTCCCTTAAAGTCTCTTTTCCTGATTGGCTCCTGAAGAGTAAACCCAACATTCCTCAGTGGTTTGCTGCAGAAGCTTTTCCACTGCCAACTGTGCTCATTCTCACACCTGGAGTCCCGGCACACACACTCAAACTTCTCACTGCCTGCAACTTTTTACACATTTGAGGACTGACCGTCGACTGTATTGGGATCTGTTGAAACATGCTTGCGTCAACTGTGATTGTCACCACCTTGTGGTGTTTCTGCTCGCTCCATCCTACTTCTGGACAGGTGAGTGAGAGCAAAGGCTAATAAGCTAATCAGTGAATTACAGCTGCAGTTGGGTGCCTCAGCTTATTTCAGTGAAATAAGTTGAAAGCCTGCTTACAAAGACACTTACTTACTACCATGCATGGCTTGACAGACAAACCTGCTCAAATCTGAGAAACCTCTCGTCTTACTGTAAGTACACAACAGGTCCTACTGTGAATGTCCTTGCTTTGTGTCACATATAACATTTTCATAGAGCAAACCTTGAGTCACCTTCACTTTGCATACAAGCTTCAGGAACAAGACCCCAGAGACTTCCGTGAATGAATAAACTCAATACATCTACGCTGTGCTTCACTGCAATCCTGCTAGGCATTTCCAGAAAGCTGCATCAGGCTGTGAAGGACTCTCTTTAGGCCTTTGCATGCATTTCTGTGTCTGGTGTCTGTGCCTGTGTTACTGAGCGATGTTCAGCATGTTTATGTGTTTATAAATGTCCTATAAGAATGTGACGGTTTATGTCTTGTGTGTATGTTATTTAAAGCTGGATTTTAAAGTTGTTAACACATGAAATCATTTGACAAATACGGTTATATTTAATAGTTCTGTACTGTAGTCTGGAGCTCTGGTGATGCTTGCCTCCTACACACTGTCACCCAGTTAACATGAAGCCATGTGAAATGTTGCTTAGCACGGGCAGAAAGGAGTCTTTGACAACTGCACTATAAACACCAGCCAACCCCCCCGACCGACTGAAGTCTTTCCAAACCCAAGTTCTGTCCAAATCAGAAAGGTGTTTTCAACAAATATTGACTCTTCTTACATAACTCTGGCTGGACGAAAACACTAATTGGTTGTCTAAAAACATGCATGAGAGGACAGAAGGTGTAGAATGACGCCGAATGGATAAAAAACAGTGCCACTCCCTTTACCCTCCAGCCAATAGAAAGGGTCGTAACACAGGTGATGTTTACGCTGAGGGCGTATATACTCGACTGACTGACCCCGAACCTTAAATCCACTACATCATAAAGAGCAAGTGATTACCCACAATGCAAGCTAAAGAGCTTTTGCTAATTTCATACCCTCTCCTAAAGTGATGGTTACATAACTATATGTAATGAAGCTTTTAAACCTCCACATGCGGGTCGCACCCAAAAAAAACCACATCACAAGAAAAGTAACTGGTTACTTTAAGTGAGTGTTTATGACTGAGTTACAGTATCTAGCTTTCAGAAGATGAAGTTCCTCCTTTCATACTTACAGTGGCCAAACATATTCTGATCCTACTGCATTTACTCGCTCATATAACAGCCCAGCCTCTGTGCTGCACAGGGCTTCAAGTGAACGCCTTCAGCAGACTTTCATTTGTTTATATGCAGTAGAACTGACTTCTGTTTTAATGAAACCATTTTACTTGCACAACTGATTGGCATTTGAGGTGATCACAATGTTTTTCAAAAGTATGCAAACAGAAAAACAAGCTAGTGTAATGTGAGCTAATCTCGTAACTGAACTGAAATTTCAATCATAGACAGAATTGTAGGAGTGCAACATATTGATGAATGTGTGGAAAACTTTTTCTGCCTCAGACACTATTCAAAAACTCTTTTGTTTGTAAAACAATCTTTAGCCTGTTTTGAGTCTTGTGATTGAATGGAAATGTTGGAATGAATGGGTGACAAATACTTATTTTAACTTTAGCTGAGTCAGATTTTTTTTCCTTTTTTTCTGTATTCATAAATTCAACAAAACAGTCTTACTTTTTGAAGAAAACAGAAAATCTGTAGCGTTCAAGATCCAAATTGTAGCATTATATACACAATGTGCAAGACACTCCTAAATGCTGCAAGGCTCAGAAGGATTCTTCTAAAAATCATAATCTATCAGTTATGTGGCTACAGTTTTATTTGCAATATTGTAGCAAAGAATAAAAAATTATACATTTGATACACTCTAATATGTCCTCTATGTTTTGTTCCAGGACTGTCCTAGTAGACAAGAAATACAAGGCTCTCTGAAGCAGGTCCAGAAGCTTCTGTCAGCCCATGAAGCCTCGTACTTGCAGAGCCTTCGAAACCTAAAGAAGAAAATAAACCTGTTGCAGAGCAACGCAGGGAAGCAGACAACAAGAGCCATCAACAGTGAGCAAAACCCTATATATTCAAATGACACTGAAATATCTTATGTTTTTTTTCATCACCCTCATGTTTTTTAACAGGCACCTGCCCAAAACTGGACGCACCAATCAATGGGAGGAAACTTGGAAAGTCACACAGCGTGGGCCATGAAGTTCACTTCCTGTGTGATCCTGGATATGAACTTGTGGGATCAGAGAGCAGGGTTTGTCAGGAAAGCCTGACCTGGAGTGGCCAGCACACTACCTGTCGAGGTGAGAGATCAATGATCTTCTGCTACCCGGTCTCACTGTGGTGGTCACTTTCTCCACTGCCTCCTCCTCATCCTCTTCCCACCAGTGTCTCTCCTGTTCTTCACCCTGACCAACCACTGATGTTGTTATCTAACCCACTGATCACTTTTACAACCCTGTCATCGTCCTCTTTGTAACCTTCCCCTCTCTTGCTCTCTATTGCCATTCCTCTTTTTGTGCATTATGCATGTCACAGACGTTTTACATTTCATATGTGACCCGTGATCATATTTCCCTCTTTATGTACTTTGGTCGTTGTCCAGAGAGCTTATTGAATGCTGTGACATGTGATATTCTAATCTCTATGTCCTCTGACAGCTCTCTGACTTTAAGATAACAGCCCAAAGGCTGTTTGATCAAGACAGGGCTTCCCCTACATTTTGGCTGCACCCAACATTAACTCATCTGCTCCAGTTTGTCCTTATTCCCTCTTCGACATACATATGCCATGATGTCACGTTCTTTTATCTTTAACCATCAATGATATTTGGTTGCACAAGTCCTCGTATCTCTAAAAGGTTCAAATGCAGCAATGGAGTTATAACCTTCCTTTCTGTCTCTTCCCTCAGACATCAATGAGTGTGCGTTCTCTCCATGCCTGAATGGTGGGACATGCGTGGATGAAGTGAACCAGTTCTCTTGTGTCTGTGCCAAAGGCTGGTCTGGAGCCACCTGTCAGAGCCCTGTGCCAACATGTAGGTATACTACTCTACATACTCAGACCGCCACACACATAGTTTTACTTCAGAATTGTACTGTTGTTCACATTCAGATACATGGGGTTTGGGTGTTACGTTGCGCCAAATGTTTTGGTACCTTGATATTAGGACTAAACAAATAAGTATTTAAGACAACACTTTACTGCAGCTACTACTGCTTTTGTAGAGGCCAGTATTCAAATCCTCACAGTCTGCTAAAGGAGATTACATTGGCCAGTGGTTTGGCTTGCCAATACAAGCCAGTGCTACATACCACAATGTGGGTTTTATTGAAATCCAGGCTGAAGTCCAAGACGTTGCTGGTTGAGTGACAGCTGCTGCCTGATGCGAATGGTGGAGCCCAGTGTGTTTTGTTTTTCTCTGTGTATTTAATATTTCCAACTTAAAATAGTTTGTTACTTAAGGTCACCTTGCCTTCCTGTGTGGGCCATTACAGATACTATAGCCCAGCCAATACTTTAACATTGAGCAAGTTCTGATAATGTCAGATAATAATACAGGAACTGAAAGTTTTATACATAAACACATAATTTTTTCAAAAACGTTTCGATATGGATCTCTTAAATTAATTTAGTAAAGGATTGGAAAATGTTATGTAAGGAGCAGGACATTTTACAATCAAAAAATAAACTAATGGAAACACATAGGCAATGAGCTTATATCACTGCAGCTAATTTATTAGTCTAGTTTTAGTAGAGATGTTTTATTAAGAATACATAACACGTTATCTGTGTAAATAAATGACAGCTGAGTGCCAACATTTGTCTTGAACCCTGAAAAAGGATTTTTCACGGTATAACACTTTAACAGTATCTGATAATTGGATTAAAGCTCACAATACTTCATTGGATTTTCTGTTGAACGTTTTGACCCCAAAACAGGAATATATATATATATCTTTTTGCTGATAAAAACTAAAAACCCAGTTACTCTCCTCTTTAATTTTACACTGGCAGTTGTGACTAGCTCTGTCTCACATCAACAATGTCTGTCACACATTGTCTATTAATGAATGAATGAACGATGCTGAGCCCGTACAGAGATTGAAAATATTACATCTGGGAATGAAAACACACTCTACAACTGCTTACTTTTCCTCCTTCCTGTCTTCCTCATTTAGTCTTTGTCACCATTACAAACACCTCTGCCGCTACCTCCCCAGCCACCGCTGCTGCTTCCACCTTGCCAGCTGCCACCACTGGACCTTTTGTTCGTCCATCACGTTGCACTATAGTGCAGGGGACCACTCACTGCACCTGTGAGCCAGGATACACCATCTCTGGCAGGGACAGCAACACTTGCACTGGTATGACTAATGTTTGCCCTGTAACTAAAACAGATACACACCTTCATGTTTCCATGTAGGATGTTAACTGTGTGTGTTGGTCATTTCAGATATAGATGAATGTGAGCTGTTTCATAATGGCCAGGCTGGGAGATTGTGTTTACATGCTTGTGTAAACACCCCTGGTGGCTACCGCTGTTCCTGCCCCGTTGGATATAATGTGACCCGTGATGGACGAAGCTGCAAAGGTGTTTTTCTTTTTCTGTGTTTTGTTTTCATTTTAATTTCAGAAAGAATACTTTTTGCAGGATAGTTTCTGTAATACCAAATGTTTCTGAAAAGACTACAAACACATCCACACCACAGTATAACCTTTCCCAGTTCTGCTTAGACCACGTGTAATAGAAAGCCTAAAATATGTTAAGGACCAGATCTAAACTTTAAATTATATTCTTCTAGGAGCTCATACGCGTTACATATATGAATGACACATGAATGATATCCCTTTACTTTTAAGTTTGAATAATGTCTGTTGATGTTTCCTCACAGAAATTGATGAGTGTGCTACTAGACAAAACAACTGCACAAAGGACCAGATGTGCATTAATACCTACGGTGGTTTCCAGTGTGTCCGTGTGGACTGCCCCAAAATTCCTAACGCTACATATGTCAAGACGTCGCCAATGTGAGCATTATCCTCTCTTGTTTTACACTGTACAAGTGATTTTTCATTTGAGATGTGTAGTTTGTTTCCATAGATTTAACTATTTCTCCCACTTGGATTAACTCTTTCAGCTACATCTTCCTCAGTTTTCACTTCCTTTTCCAGGCGTTGTGAACGTAACCCCTGTCCTGTGGACAACAAGGCTTGTTCCCAGACCCCAAACTCTTTTTCCTACCATTACCTGGCTGTCGTGTCCAACCTGTCAGCTCCACGCGTCATGTTCAGGGTCTCAGCATTGCGTCCAATGGGTGACACACTTCGCTTCTCTCTGCTGGGGGGAAGGCAAGCTCGGCGCCACTTCACAGTCCAGCGTTCAGATCGTGTGACAGGTCAGCTGATGCTGGTGAGCCCAGTGCAGGGCCCTGCCACACTGGAGGCAGAAGTGGAGATGAACGAGCTGGAGAGACGAGTCCAGCTGGGAAGGTACATCACTAAAATCACCATGTTTGTTTCCCAGTATGAGTTCTAGAAAGAGAGGGTTGAAAGTGGAAACACACTTAGAGTACAAAGGCCAAACAAAAGTCTAAACTAAGGACTATATTTGGTCATGGATGTGTGATAATCTAATATATTGTGGAGACCATCTTTAAAGTTGCCTCTGCTGTTGCTAAAGGAGTTACTGCAACTCAAAAATGTAGTAAAGTAAGCTTGAGCCAGCATATTGACTCTCAAGTGATGGATGAATTAACATCTGTTTTGCACAGCTGTGTGCAATAAATGTTTTAGAATATGGGTTCTTCAGGGCATTGGTAATAAGCTATAGAAATGCAAACTGAGTGATGTATATTTGGATTGACTTAACCATAAGAACAAGTGTTTTGTATGGATTAACTAAAACATATTTATTGCACAAAGAGAGAAAAGAGTGTAGGAGATATAAAAGGTGAACGAAATGATGTAGCAAACAGTAAAACAACATTCAACTAGCATTCAATATGTATCCAGCCTGAAATAAAGTGCTATATTTGTAAATGACGGTCCTGCCATGTTGACATTTATGTTATGTATACTTGACATGTAATCAAAATGTGTGAAGATTTTGTAATTCTCTTTACTATCATGTTTTAGTTATATTCGGCTTTCACCACAACTGTAATATCATGCCTCCAATACAATCATTAAAACACCATGTAAACCCAGAATTGTTTGGACTTTTAATCGCAAATGAATAAAATGTTTGGTACCATTTGAATGTTTTCTATTTACTGCACTTTCTACCTTGTAAAATATGCCATTAGAGCATTCTGATATATATGTATTTGAGCAGTGATATATGTGAGCAGAGGTTGTTTGGGAAACACTTCAGTTCTCGCAGTACAGAGCAGTGCTGTTCAGCAGACAGACAGCCAAAGACAGTCTGCTCAAAGAGCCACTGTGTTCTTACAGTGCATGAATAACTTTTAAATTTGCAAAACAAGCACACACAGAAAAATGCACGTCTCACATGCACCCTGCAAGTAATGTATGTGTGATTATTTCCCTTTCATGAAGAGGTGTATATTTGGAAAAACTTGTGGCATTTTAGAGAAACGTGATGAAATGTGTCACCTCTGTGCTGCACCAGCCATATATATCGACTGTTTGGTGATACACAACTTTCTAAAAACATACACACACACAAAAATACATCTGTGGATAGTGAGGTAGAGAAAGTGTAGGTTCACTGGAGACAAACAGGATGTCTTTAGTTGCAGAGGTGGCTCCACGCTGTGGCCGAGACTCACCGATGACACTACTGAGGGGGCAAGGGGAGCTTTAGCCACAGGATCCTGAAACGAGATTGCACGCTGAGTGAAGAAAAAAGATGCATAGAGATAGCGAGGCAGACAGGGAGTGATGGCTGAATAGAGAAGGCTGAATAGAGGACGATTCACACCAGCCAGTCAGTCACTGGCCAAGGGGTGCAGGCTGAATTAAAAACTGCTGTCTTTATTACCACCACAGAATAGACCTCTCACTGTTCTTCAGTCCGTTGCTGCCTCTTCTGCCGTAATGGAAGAATAAGCAAAGGGAAAGGTGAATGGGAGGCTGTCCTTGTGTTTGCCCCCCTGGGAGAGGTGATGATTCAGTAAAGTTCAATCAGAGTGCTTTTCTACTACTGTCCCTGCATAGCACCCATTCCAGAAGCCAAATAAAACCCTGCTCTACTCATCTACAGCTTATCCTTTCTGTGTTTTACATCTGCATTGCTCATTTGCGAGGTCACGCCTGGTGTACAACAGCCACTTGTGGAAATATATCCGAACGGTGCTCTGAGAAAGTCTGTCTATGAGAACAACCGGTCTGAAATCTGCTGTTTTGTCTGTGTCCCTCACTGTCTTCTCGTTTCCTTTCCACCTCTGCTATATCATGTTACATCCACCTTCCCATCCTTCTAACCATTCTTCCATCTCTGCCACCCTTTCTCTGCAGCTCTGTCCAATGAGGCTGAGTCACACCATACAGATAAAAAGAAACTCTTAATGAGTGCTGGCAGTGTGTTTGGGGCTGAAATCAATATCCTGATCTCAGTCTCGTTGTGAGGTATGGTCATAAGAAACCAGCACTCTCTCTTTGACAGCAGGCTGGGTTATCACTGGTACTTACTTTTCTGAAAGGGAATACCTCGGTCTCGTCTGAAGTTTAATGGAACAAAGGGGAGTGTGACTGGGTCTGCTGAGGCTCCAGAGAGTGCAGACAGGACTTCACAGTCAGTTTGGCTCAGGGCCATTTGATGTGGGCATGCAGGTGAGGAGAGGAGTGTATAACAGCCATGCCAGTAGCACCACAGTAGTTGTGGTCCGGCCTGTGCTGCAGGTCAGTACAGCACAGAGCAGGCAGGATATGAGGGTACCTCATTTTCTAATCCTAAATTAAACATCCTCCGATCTGCTCTTGCACCATTAAGACAATGATGCTTTTGTTTTTTTCTCAGTGCACACTCGCTTACTGTCCAATCAAAAAACAATAAGTATACTCACTGCTGTGTTTATGTCTTTAAGTCATCGCAAAAAGGAAACCTGTGTATGTGCATGTGTATTTTTTTAAAACATGATGTTACACTGCCCCCTGCTGCTTCCAGAGGAGACATGTAGCACACTCATAGACAGGTAACAGTGAAGCCAAAACCCAAACTGATTTGTTGGTTTCATTAATTTGTAGTGTCTCAGTTTGTAACATGCACAGTGGAAAAAGACCAAAGTACATTTGGTCATTTGGGGTGACTGACATATATTGTAACTGATATATTTATCTGATACAGATTTGACAAAAACAAATGCTGCTGGATATATTGAGTATATGAAAGGTACAATGTGATCACATTAATCTAAAAAACGTTTTTAAAAGGACAAACGCTCTTTCAGTTCAGAGTACAGGTTTGTTTTGAAACTATGATGCTTGTATTATAAGTTCTGTGCTCAACACACACGATGTAATGTGCTTAAAATGAAGCACAAATTAAATGTATTGCCATAATTTTGTTTAGTCTGGTGTGACATATGACATGACATCTTTAAAGTGATGCAAAACTTTAATTCAGTCAACTGAAGCCAACTTAATAGTCAAGATCAACTAAGAATATGACAGTAGTGTAGATCTGGAAGTATGGGGTAATACCGAAGGTCCTTCCTTTTACATACAGTGAAGACTGCATCAGCTTTATTCTATTTTGTGACTCAAAATGCCAAAATATAATCTTTATTGGCTAAAAGTGACCAGGTTGGGGTTTTGTGATACAGAACTACACATAGGGGCGGTGTGTGAATGTGTATGAATGTGTTAGTCTCTTTTCGATGGGCTTTGCCATCGCTGAGTGAATGTGTGTGAAAGGGCAAATGTGGCATGTAGTTAAAAGCGCTTTGGAGTGTCGGCAAGACTAGAAAGGCGTATAACAAGTACAGGTCCATTTATCATTTACCTTATTTGTTGATATGTTCAAAACCTATGGGCTAAAAGTACCCCTGTGTGGGCTTGATGTTGTGGGATGAATGAATTCATGTTTTTGCAAAAAAGAATCCTGGTATATTTAATCATTTTTAACATCATCATCAACATATTGAAATTTAAAATGAGCTGAAATAAAGAGTTAAGAAAATAAGGAGTCATAATACTTTCTGACTGCACTATATATGCATGGGCCTACTGTGAAAAAGGCGTATTGGAAAGGAAAATTAACACTTCATAGGGAAGGCGGTGAAAACCATAAAACTATAGTTCCAACAATGAAAACAAAAGTTAGAACACTTCTGTGACAGCCTCAACACTTATTACCAGATGGTTTTTGATTTTTTTCCCCCTGTTTAACAGTCACCTTTTCTTTCCATTGGTTATTATTAGGCCACTATAATAACAAAGCATTTACTTTTGTTCTGGAAAATTGCATGGTAGAGATGCTTTGAATATCTAACAAGTCTAATAAACAGAGTCATTTCCTTGACCATGTAACTGTCAGTGGAGCTATATTTTGTGCATGTTTAGAGGAAAAGTGAGTTACGTGCATGAGTAAATGTGATAAACAAGTTGGTATTATTCTGCACTCTTTTATTAAGATGACACGTTTTGACTTGCAGCTCCATTTCTTTAAACATCACTATATTGCCTGATGCCACACAGGAAACAGGAAAATAAATCAATTTTACTGGGCGTTGGTGTGTCTGCACTGCATGTGCAGAGGGTGTTCTTATTGATCACTGTTCTCCAGTATCTTTTGTCACTGTTTATATTGATCTCTCTTTAGAGTTTTATAAACTCCTAGAAAATTGACATGAACATTAAGCTATCCTCAATAATACAATCTTTTATATTTTTAATTATTTTGATCTCATCAACATCATTGTTCTCCTATCATATTGCAATTTGTTTGTAATGCCTAAGAAATGCTGGCACTGACTTTTTGATGAAGGGTCCCAGCATGAGTACAATTACTTAGGATGTAAGAGGAAAGTGCGTCAATTGAATCTGTCCGAACATCACCACAAGTTAATTCTGATGCCTGATGGCTACAACCTGCTGGCACCGTATTGATTAAGCATATTTTTCATTAGCTCTGAGGCCTGGCTTTAATTTCTTACCTTCCACATTCGCAGTCTGCAGCCTCATAGGGAAACATGTCACTCAATCTCAGATCAAGTGTGAGCACTAAACATGCCTTTGTGTTGGAACAGGCCTGCCCACAAGGCAGATGTTGAAGGTGATGATTGCGAGGGGCAAATCAATAGTTGAGGCGTGAACTTTTGTGAAGTTTTACTGTTTCCAGCGGGGGTTTGTGAGGACTGACAGTCTGCTTTAAAATAAGAAAACAGACAAATATATATTACAAGTTTTTAATTATAAAGAATAAGCACTCATCAATGAATATTTTATCAAAAAACATTGTAATATTTGTTCATGAATACTATGTATATGAAGTTTATTATGAATAATGACAGAAAATATATAGGCACTGATCCGTAAGGACACCTGACTTCCACACAGCAGCAGTCAAGCTGACACCTGTTAAAATTGACAGATTTATTCTTTGGGGTGTTATATCATAGTGCCATGGTTCTACACAAACAATATACACACATATATGTTTGGAATAAACTTGTCACTGAGCTGCTCTATAAAAGACACAACAACAGACTGCTCAGCTGGTAGGTGACTGACAGACAGTTGACCAGACAGAGGAACAGCAAGAGAGAGCAGATGAGATAAAATCATATCCAGAGATACATTCGCACAGAAACTGAAGCCAGGTAAGTGACCTATAGCAAAGAGGTGAATGAGTGTATATGTGAGTGTCATGGAAAAAAAGACCAACAGGTGCATGTAGAGCTTTATAATTTGTATATTGTACAACAGGGCTGTGAATTACAACCATTTTACATCAAACAGATGTTTGTTTGGGTGTTTTGCAAGGCTATTTATTCTTATACAAAAACTATTTAAACCAATTGGTTTTGTCAAAACTTTTCTCATTGCACTTCTATTGCTTTTTTCTGTTTGATCAAAGTTGTGTGACCAGCTAGCCGCAACTGTTCTTCTCCCATTTCTCCATTTAATTGTCTGATAACAACACTTTATCTCCAATGATCTCCCTCTGAGTAGTTGTAATTTTGTGTTCACTAGGTCAGTCATGCTGTAGAGATTGTAGACGGAGCA